GAACCCACCCGGGGGATTAATAAAGTTTTATTTTATCTAATTTAATCTAATAACTTTAATCTCAGCCAAACCGGTTTACTCACAAACAAATAAAACACTGAAAAAAGCCAAACAATAGCATTTTAGGTTGTCTAAGTGTTTTATATATTACGTTTAACCTGAGTAGCAAAAGTCCGCGGTGATCTGAAAATGATGTACCGGGAGTTGTGCCGTTTTCGGCGGCTTCAGTGACCCTCGAGCTCTCGGCTAGCTATCGAGCTGGTGGGTACAGACCTCAACGAAAACGTCGAAGCACTTGCAAATATGCAATATCTTGATAAACCGAGCAGATATTTGAAGTTTACACCGAGAACGTGGGGGTGAAGGACTGGACAGAGTAGCTGTCCAGTCCTTCTCAGAATGCCGACACAAATAGATTACCTATGGATGGTTTCCTGCTCCCATTGTCTTCAGCTAATGGCTTGTCCACACCCCATATGCAGTCAATACAGGAGGAAGCACCCCAGATTGCACAGGTAAGATGGATCAATTCAGGCAACCATAAACGCCTATCTTTACATACTGTAGAGATGCCAAAATTGCATGCTATTTTCTGAGGATATGGCAGTTTGTGGGTCCATTTGAATTAAAAGGATATTGTCAGTTGAGAGACAATTCCAGTGTTTAACATTAAGATAAGATTAAACAGGAAATTTAGTCTTGAAATCAAATTATTTACATAACACAGCAATGACACATTGTTTTGGTGTCACTATTGTGGTCTCTACCTTTTTTGCAAAGAAGTGAGTCTTCTCATACATGTATGAGCATGTAAAGAACACTTGTATAATTTTCTGTGAGGCATACGAGGAGATCCATCAGGCCAAAATGTTAATGTTATATATAAATTGTCAGTGCAACCATGGTTTGGGAATGTACAGCCCACTAAAATTAGACAAATAAATTTCAAACTTTTTCAGAACATTGATATTGTGTAATCTGTACAATTCATTTGCATTTCTTATGGAATGTGCATGTTTTGTCTTTTACTCAGGACCATGGACTGAATTTCATTTACACAATAGTGTCTCATTCAGATCTGGCGTTTGGAACTATCTTGGTTTTCATGTGAAGCATGACCCTGATGGTAAGCACGTCATGGACAAAAGTAAAACAGTATGTCAGATGTGCCACGCAATGCTCAATTGGTGGGAACTAGTGCGTTAGCACAGTTAGCTTGTTAACGTGTTGACGCCGTCCAGCCCCACGCACGGGGCGATCCGCGGTAACTCGTTAACGGAGATTTGCCGCGTTATGGCGTTAATGTCATTTTAACGAGATTAACGCTGACAGCACTAGTGGGAACACAACGAATATGACTGCACATTTACGCCGACATCATCCTAGT